TTACCATTTGAAATTTCTAAGAATCTCATCATTGGGTAATTTGTATTTAATTCCAAAAATTTTATATTTTTATGTTTTTTAATTTTTTTGGTTTGAAAATAAATATTAATTATTGTTATTGAAATTTTATCTAAGTTAGTCCACCATTTGGGATAAATTTAAACAAAATTTCTTACCTAGGAATTTCATAAAAATTTACCATTTAAAATTTTTATAAATTCCATAATTGGATGATTAATATTTATTCCCAAAATTTTTATTTTTTATTATTTTATTAAATTTAATATCAAATAATGAAAACCATAAAACAAAGTGAATAAATAAACAATTATGCATAAAACAAAACAAATGAATAAACAATCAAATAAAGAGAAAAAAATGAGTACCAAATAATTAAAGAATTTGAAAAATAAATAAATAAAAACAAGTAAAAGTACCAAAGTTGACGTGAGCCTTTGGGATGAAATTCTACCAAATCAATGTGCTAGCCTATCACATGACACTAAGGCATCAAAGTACACTAAGGCACTTGCTCCACACGCATGTGGTTCCCTTCTACTATTGCCTTCCACTATTTTTTGGTTCCTGCTAGCTTCTTCTGTTCTTGCTGTCTAATCTTTTTTTTGGTTCTTCTTCTTTTTTTTTCTTTTGGTGCCAGCAGCTTCACGTTCCCTTGCCTGCTGTCAATTTTTTTTCTCCCCTTTTCTTGTGTGTTTTAGCGTTTATTTATAAGGATTGATCAGATGAGTTTCTGATCAATCCCAATTCCTTCTTGTGATTGAGATTCAATCTTTGAATCTAATCCAAACTCTATCAGCCCAGTTTTATGCAAACTCAAACACATTTTTTTGTTTTTTCATTTTTATTATTTTTTTAAGTTTTTTAATTGTCAAAGTTGATCTTGTAAACCTCCAAACAGATTGGGGTATCTACACTAAGGGTGGATTTAGAGGTCTCATATTTAAAAAAAAAAAAAAAAACTATCAAATAGTGAAAAATAAATGAAATGGTAACTTGATTAAGTAAATATGATATTTTGATAATTGATGGAACATTTTTTTAATAAAAGAATACATATTTACATATGGTGGGGATGATAAAAAATAAAAATAAAAATAAAAAATTACCACCATAATGTTGTAAGATTTTAGTATAATTTTATGAGTAAATTATACAAGCTAATAAGTTTAGTATACTTATAAAAGTAAAATTACAAAAAAGGTCCTTACATATCTTAAAAAGACTAAAATGTTTTGGTTTGTTCATTCAGTTTATCTAATTGTGCTATAAGTATAATTATGTTAAAGATGTATAAAAATATGAAAATAGAATGATTGAAATTTATGAGCATAGAATTGTGGCCACAACTAATACCATCTATTTCTTAAAATGACAAAAAAAATGGCAATAATGTCTAGAGCATATAAATGATATACAAAATAAAAAGTTTGGACATATTAACTCGAAGTGATTATATTAGATATTCAATCTCAAATGGGAGTAATTATCATAAAAAAAAATTAAATTTTAAAATATTAGGTTAGTAGTACTACAAGTAAAATGAATTTAAACTCTTATTATTAGACACCAATAATGAGAACCCAACTTTGAATTAGTGATTTTTAATTACAAAGTTTAATGGGTAAAAAAAAGTTATTGTTATATGTTTATTAAGCATTAGTAAAATCCAATCAAATTTTAGAAACTAGTGTAATCCATTGCATAAGGAAGATGAGTTTTTATATTCTTAATGGAGTTCTAAATGTCTAAAGTAATTGAGATATAATAGAAACTCTACTTACACAAACATAAAAGTGATACTGCTTCAATAAAAAGAATTGGAGTCTTTTTTGTAAATTATGAATAGGATAAGCACATAGCCATAATAGTGCTAAAGCGGTTATAAACCTCTGATAGAAGAATAAATAAGTATTATGCGTGTTATATCTTCAATTCTAATACTAGGAGTTGATGTTTAATTAGTGGACACCTCAACTTCATTAGAATTTTAAAATATATATACACTAATTAAAATTTAAATCGAGAGATTTTTTTTGTATTCATAATATTTATTTAGATGAAAAATTAAAAATTAAGCACCAACATTCTAAACTAGTGAAAGATTATTGAAAGTTTAGAATGTAATGTATTTCATATTTGATAAAAAAAAATTAATTGTTGATGAATAAAAATAATTTTTTTTATTAATTTTATTCATATTTTAATTAATTATATTTTAATATAAATAATTATCATATAAAAAATAATTATAATTATTTGAATATAAATATATTATTATTCATAAAGATCATTATTATACATAAGATCATGATTATAAAAAATGTTATAACTTTTTAAATAAAAATTCATATTTATTTATTCGTTATAAATAAATATTTTAATATAATTTTTAAAAAAGTGTTCTTCATGCTTTAAAATTAAAATTTTTTTTATTATTTTTTCCTTTATTTATTTTTTTAACATATGGAACTCGGCGGAGAAGGTAGGAAAGCCGTGGTGATTATAGAGAAGAAAAAGAAGGTGGTGGAAGTTGGGATGATGCCCAGTAACCCAATTCTTGAAATGCCAGGTGGAGGTTTCTCATTGTCGGAAGCAAAAAAGGAGAAAAGTCTTCTTGGGTGGTGGAATCGAGCACGGCGTTGCTTACGGGATGAGGGCAATTTTGGAACGAGGTAAAAAGGAAGGACATGGCAATAGAGCCAGCGGACTGCGAGGGAACGGCTGGAGGCGAGAGCCGAGAGGAGAAGATTTGGGATGGAGAGGAAAAGGGAAGTGTTGGTGAATGCGAAGGCTTTTAGGAGGCGGATGCTGGTGATGTTAAGGGCAGTGATGGTGGTTAAAATCTTGTCGGGTGGTGGTGCACATGGGATGGCGTTTTTCGGAGGTGGTGGAAGGGAAGGAGGAGGTGAACTGGACGAAGGAAAGGAGGAGGGAAAAGAAGAGAAAGGCAGGCATTTTTCTTGGTGTTTTGAGAGCTGCTTTTTTTCTCTGTTTGGGCAATGAAATGAAATGAAATGAAAAAGAAGACCGAAGAGAGGCGGTCAGGGGAGAGGAGAGGGGTCGTTATTTTGGGCGGGAAAGTTTATTTGTTGTGGTGGTGATTGCATGCGGAAGGATGTATGTTTAGCTGTCACCAGAACCGTTCGTTAGAGAACCATATTTTTTAGTAAGGGGGTGATTGATGTATTTGGACTCAGCCCGTTGGGTAGAATAGAATCAAATATGGATTGGCAAAGCGATTAGTTGGATGAGCCCAAATGAGGACCAGAATAATATAGGCCTACCCGATTGATAAATTGAGAGATTTGAATATTTACACAAAATTTATTTTTAACCTTCTTTAGTCTCGTCGGTTAAAAAAAAAGAAAAGAGCTTTTTTCTTATTAATTGGACTTTGATTTGTATGAGAAATAACTACTTCGACAGTATAGATCAGACGTGGGAAATTTATTTTTAAGAGAATAAAATAAAATTCAAATAAAATTTAAGTATATTGTTAATATTTGGATAAAAAAAAAACTTTAAAAAAAAAAGGGAAAAAAGAAGAGACACCCATCAAGTTACTTTTGTTTCGTGATTTCAGGTAATAAAAGGTGATGATAGAAGTTGTCAACAACGTGGCCAATGGCATGTGAAAATGTCTGGCACGATTTTCAGCCCTTTGCCTTTGCCTTTGCCTTTGCCTTTGCCTTTGCCTTCCAAAATAATAGTAGTAGTTAAATTTGTTGGAATCAAATATCCTTCCTTGATTATGATCTGGCCGGACCATCAGCCGCATTCGCAGCGAAGCCATGGCCAAACCCAAAGCTCATACTCAAAATTCCATGATTTACCCTCCAAATTTAACCCAATTATCCAAACAAAACTCTCTATTTTCAGTAATTAGTGAGATTCATTCACCTATTACTGAGATTCACTATTTTTAACACTTCAAATTTACATATAGTTAAAAAAAGAAACAAAGTTTTTGCATCTATTCTCCATTAATAAAAATACTCTATTATTGAACCAAAAAAAAACAAAACAAGTTCTCCATTCATTTATCATAAATTAACTTTTATATACATATACATATACATATACATATACATAATATATACACGTAGGGGATATAACTAGCTTCAAGTCAAAAAGCTGGTCCGAACTTAAAGGCTATCCAGCTTATTCATTAAAAAAAAATTAATAATTTAAAATAATTCAAATTTAAATAATTTGAATTTAAAATAAATCAATGATATTCACCCAATAAACGCATCTAATCTAAGGTTTTAAACACTAAACAAACTACAATTAGTTGTTTAAGATTATACCTGGTATACAAGTTGCATTGGTTTTACTCTCTTTTTTTTGAAGTATTAAATAAATTAGAAGTAAAGTTCAAACGTAATCAAAAAAATTGAATGAATGAATAATTAATCAAATATTTTTTAATTTTCAACTATGCTTTCACATGAAATGCTTTTACAAATTTTATATGACATACATGAAATTCATTTACATAATTTTTTTTTATAAGAAAAAATTTGAAGTAGATAAATTATTTAATTCCTTAAATCAAGATAAGATGTGTTAGACCTGACAGTTTAAGATATATGATCATAAGTCGTATATTCGAGATTATCTTAAAAAATAATTATTAATAAGATTCGAATCTAAAATTTTTTTATTGAAAAAAATAAACCTAATCGTTTAAACTAAACAATTATTAATCATTTACATAAAATTAAAACCTTGCTGAAGTTTTAATTTATAGATTTATAGATAATTATAAATATATCAAGAGTAATATATCTCTTTCGGAAAAAGAATGTAGAAAAAAAATGCTGATAAGACAGCATTCAGTTAAAAGTAACATAAAGCCAAAAAAAAAAAAAAGTGATTGTGTCTGAAAACAAACAAGGGTCAATGTCGTCAATTTAATCTCAAACAGCAAAAGCCACCTTGGTTGAGTTGGTTGAAACAAGACCAGGTCAAGCCGAACCTATTCCATTTCCATCCAGCAAAACATAGCACAAGAGATATTTTTTCTTCTTTCTTTAAATTACATTAAATCCCAATAATTTCTCATTATCTCTCTTTAATCATTCTCTTTCCTACAATCATCAATCATCATCCACTTCACCAGCATTTGCTCGCTGCAAAAAGTACCCAATCCCACGTCCTTTTTTCTTTTTTCCTTTCTCTTTTAGTTTTCTTTTACTTCGTTGCCCTTTTTTGGTCCATAAATCCCCAGAAGACCCTTTTGACTCTTTAACTCTCATTCCTTATTTGGTTTCTCTTGTTTTTTGTTTCTTCTTATTTCATAGATCCAGGGACTTCTTCTTCTGTCAAGGTACATTTTTTAATTTCCTTTTCAAGTTTAAATTTTTGACCCATTTTTGCTTTCAGTTGTTAATATCTATTGTTTGATCATTCTGTTTCGGGTACTTCTCTTTTGGTTCTAACCTTTTCAAATTAGATCAGCTAACTGGGTTTTGCGTGGGATGTTTGTTTTCTTTATGATTCTTTTTGAAGTCCCAGATCGGGGGTTTTGAGGATGCAAGGAAAAAGAAACGAGGAATAAAGTTTCTGAGATAATGTTTTGTTTATGTTGCTTTTACTGTGAAAAAAGGAGTATTAAAAAGTTTAGCTTTGTTTAGTTCAGATAGCCGATACGGGCTCTATGGATTGGCATTTATGTTTTCTTTAGACCATAATTGATGATGAATGAACTGATTCAAAGTTCAACATTCAAGAGCTAATTTTGTTGAATTTGCCATAATTTGATTCTGAATTGTGTTTTTGGTTGTTTGTTTTAACATCTTTGGGCAGTTAATATTGGCAAATACAAGAGAGGAAATTGAATTAAAGCGGTTCAGTTGAATTATATAAAGAACATTACCGTTAGATCTAAACCATATTCTAGCCATGTCTTTTATTGGTACCCAGCAGAAATGCAAGGCTTGTGAGAAGACTGTTTATCCGGTGGAACTTTTGTCTGCAGATGGGGTGCCTTACCATAAGTCTTGCTTCAAGTGCAGTCATTGCAAAGGGACGCTAAAGGTAATGTTTTTAATTGCTTTCCATCATTTTCTGCTCATTTTTTGATATAGATGAAAATATTGTTGACATTCTTGTTCTACACATTCATTAGGTTTAAAGCAAATGGGATAGCTATTTCCATTTGTTGTATTTTAGTTAACGTTTCTAAGCTTTTTCTTTTGTTTGCTGGTTAATTTAGTAGATCTTCATTAGAATGTGTAACTTGGACACTATTGTTATCATGGTATAGTTTTTTTTTTTTTAATTTATTTTTTCCTTAAGAAAGAATTTTCTTTGTAATACGCATAATTTGTTAGAGATAATAGGTATTGTTCTGGCCTCAGTGAACAAGATTGTTCACATGATAAATTCGGTTGACCAACTTTGTTGATTTATGTAATGAAGTTTTTTATTCTAACTTGGCAGCTTGTCTTATATATTTCCAGTTGGGTAACTACTCCTCAATGGAAGGTGTCCTCTATTGCAAGCCTCATTTTGAGCAACTCTTCAAGGAGACGGGTAACTTCAACAAGAACTTCCAGTCACGTATGTCTTTGTCTCTTGCTGGATAAAATCCCTTATTTGATTTCTTGATAGTTTTGTTTTGTTGGTTTAATTAGCCATTAATTTTATTGTCAGCAGCTGCAAAGTCAGCTGAGAAGTTAACTCCTGAGCTGGTAAATTTCCCTTGCAACACCGCATGTGTTTGATGTTTGATTAGATGGGAAAAATTCATTGGAGTGTGTGATAGGTCATTGGATGTTCTTGCTAATTCCTAATAGCTTGTGTTAATTTCAGACAAGATCACCTAGCAAAGCTGCCAGCATGTTTTCAGGAACACAAGAAAAATGTGCTACATGCGGTAAAACTGCTTATCCACTTGAGAAGGTAGAATTCCAAGATCCCAATAAGTCATTCGATGAGAAATGTATCTTTTCTGCAATTGCAAGACTTTGATTTTTGGCTGTCTATGATGCCCTCTTCTTCACCTTCTTTCATTTTAACTTTTACTCCTAGCTTATAGGTGTGTGTTACCCTAGCACATTCATCTGAATCTTTATGAGGTTGACTCCTGAAGAAATATGTTTCATTTCACTTTTTTATATTATGTGATCTTGGAGTATCCTTGTTTGTTTGCTCTTTCTTTCGAGGGAGTGATACTTTATTTTTTTCAAAGTAAAATGTCAGGCTGGGTGAGTTCTTGAGCTGATGAAATCAGGTGTAGAGTAAAGCCTATAATAGTTTCTTTAAAGAAGCAGGATTGGCTCAGCTAGGTTTTCCTTCTATTGGATGCTTTATCACATTGCTCTTAGGTTGATTTTTGTCATGTAAAAGGGGCCCTCTTCACAAAGGAGAGGTATAATTAGATTTAGAGTTGTCCAAGTTCCATTTGAAATAACCAGTTGTACTCATAAGATGAGCAATTTCGTCCAGTTAGAAGTGATTCTTTTTCTCGTTTGAGTAATCCAACCAATGTGTAGCTTGAAAGCATTTTAAGTGGTTTAGTTTTGAGCAAGACAATGGACTTGCCTTGTTGGAGTTGGTGTCTATCAAGACTCAACAGCATTGTTTGAAATTTGAATAGAAGTATGGTTTCAAGAAGAGGTCAAACTGCTGAAATTTCTTACAACTGAAGTATTATATATTTCAATCTGTTAAAACTATTGTATGGTTTTGCAACTATTTCTGCGTATTACAACATTGAAATGCTTAATAATGTGCAAGATGTAGATATTTTTCTTTGTGACGGTGTCACATAAAAATGCCCTCTAGTCTCTAGGAAAATGTGTGCCGAGCTAAAATGTGGCATCTTTTTCCCAAATTTCGACAGGTAACAGTGGAAGGACAGTCTTACCACAAGTCATGTTTCAAGTGCTCTCATGGTGGCTGCCCTATAAGCCCATCAAATTACGCTGCCCTTGAGGGCATTTTGTATTGCAAACATCACTTCTCCCAACTTTTCAAGGAGAAAGGAAGCTACAACCACCTTATCAAGTCTGCATCAGTTAAGCGTGCGGCTGCCTCTGTTCCTGAAGCTTAAATACATTAGTATCCATAGTGTTTTCATGTTTTTCTTCTTTTCTTGTGCTTGCCGGTGTGTTTGATTCATGTTTACGGGAGAACTGAAAAAAAAAAAATACTCAGGTTCCTCCATGTTTCACTTTCGCACATTCATCTGCGAATATTTATGATATTTGATTGATCTATGGGATTGGGATATGCATTCCCGAAGTAGATGTTGTTTAGTACCTTTGATGTTTTCCTTGTTTTTGTTTTGCAGATAAATCTATAAAGTTGCCCTCATTTTCCAAAGAAAATTACCGCTTAAAAATATATGTTCAAAATGTTGCAATCCTCTAGTGGTAGTATCCATGAATAAACACATGTTTTTAGTCAAATATTGTGTTTACTATAGATTTGCAAAGGACTAAGAAATGCTCCTCTATCAATCTTTAAACTTTACCTTTCAAGTTTGAATCTAAGACCGTTAAACATTAGGTGGAGGCAAAACGAAGCTGGAGAAGACTGAAATTGATGATGAAAGCGAAACAAAGGTTGAGACCAAGCCTAAGCCGGGTATCAAGCCGAAAGAGGTTATAGAAATTGATGAAGCAAATGCTGAAAATAACTTCGGAAAGTCCTTTCAAATCGAAACAAAGGGAGCCCAAGCCTTAGTGGGAAGCTAAGACAAAGGTTGAAATCATGGATATTTAATTTAGGATGTTAAGATGTTAGGAAATGCCTGGAAATCTAAGGTTAACAACACTGGTGACTAGTGATGACATCTATGGAATCTTTAACTTAACACAAATTGCCGACAGAAGCTTTTTCATAGTTTGTAAATGGTAAGAAAAAAAATTATGGATTCTTATCATTCTCACAATGTCGCATAAACCTATAATGGTGAAAGGTTCATCATGAACATTTGCTGAGAAAATAATGCAGCCAAGAAAAATTCAAGGTGTTGATCACATCATCATACATCCATACTTACCGGCATGAAAAAATAAATTAAAAAAAAAAATACTATAGCAAAGCAGTAAAAAATAAAATGGTAAACTTACGAGTTTTTTTTTTTTTTTCCATTAATTAATCAATATTAGAAATGTTAATAACAGATCAACTGTGAAAAGACCAATTCTACAACCTTTTCCTGAAAGAATAAAAAACATAAAATGAAATCCCTCTGCAACCGTAAGCAGTGAATGATAGAGACCAATCAGTCACTTATTGGAGTTTCCTAATTCTTGACTAATCCTGCAGCCGTTGCCGATACAAAAGGAAAACAAGTTCCTAGGCTTCCAAGGAAAAAAATAAGAACCTAGGGCACAAAAACCGTAGCATCATATGCTACCACATGGCCCAAACTTGCCTCTTTGAACATTGTTGCTGTCCTCCCGATAAAGGAAACAAAATAAAAGAAGATCACACACATATTGTTTCCCAGGGTGATGTATCATTTACTTCTTTTCTTGGCTTCACTGTAGAGTATAACCCCAAAGACTGTGAGTGTATAACCAAGCATTCCGGTAATGGAGACTGGGTTTCTAAAAATTAAAATTGAAACCACCACAGCTACAGCTCCTTTCGCGTTTCCTAGAACCTGCAAGAGCAAACATCTTAGTATCTCAAAAATCTTAGATTAATGTGGTCATTCCTATGCTAAGTTTGATCTTTCTTAATAAGTGTATTTATGTGACTTTAATTTCATACCGCAAAAAAGATTTAAATAATGCATCCTCTTCACCCTGTTTTCTTTTTAAAAAAAGATAAAAAATAAATGTAGGAAATTCCTAAAAGCCAAAAAATTAGGGGGAAAAGACGTTGAGAAAAGCCTGCAACAAGTGTCACGCATGTCATACCTGCAAAGTCAGGGCGCTGGTGTGTTTCGTGACCAAAAAGTTGGTCAAATTCACAAAATATGCTAGTGCTGAATTGAATAGTAGATACCAAATAATCTTGATGTCATCTCTGGCGAGGGCAAGGGTAACACCAACTACATTTTCTTCCATAATGAGTGTTGCAGGAAGTAGAAATACAACAGCTATTGGAGCCATATAGAGAAGGAGGTTCATGGAATTCAGCTTCTCTCTAAAATAAAATTGCAAGAATTTTTCAGTACCCCTTTCTAGTCTCTGAACTAGTGTAAATATATAAAAATTATGCCATCAACTACAATGCAGAAGCAAAGGCATAAAATTCCTCACCCTTCAGAAGAGAGCAAAATTCCTTGTAAAACTGACTTGAGAGCTCTTGCAGCTGTAGCTGCAATGCACATGATAAAACCAAATAGATGGAAACTTGGTTCACCCTGTGTCCATGTAAGAAAAATGAAACATAACAATCAGAAAGTGATTAATTAAATGAAATGAAACAAAATAATGTGAATGATGCCGAACACAAAATTTAAATTTATAAAGATATAATGAGGAAATTTAAAGGTTTTCAAATCAAAGAAAGTGGCAAAATTCCAGACCACGCAATTTTAAATGCCACAACCAAAACATACAATATGAGAAAAGCAGAGGAAAAGCAAAGAGAGGGGAAAGGAGGAAAGAGATAGTATATAAGAGAAGCATTGATGAATCATAAACAATAACAGGGTTTTCATATTACAGTTAATGTTTTAATAATCCATTTGATATCAAGAAAAGGAAAAGATAATCAACAAATTGTGACTATTATTATTGGAAAACCTCCAAATTAAGCTAAAAGATTGGGCATTCCCATAAGCTCCAAATAACAAGATATCTACTTTTAGATCTTGCAGTTCTTTTCTTTTCCATTCCTTGTTTCAGCAACTGAATAGAGCTTAAAGCAAATACCTCAATTCATAATTCTTATTTCGACATGCTGCATTCTTTCAACCATTAATGGATTCTTTAGGCTTCGTGACGCTCATGAAATCAAAATGAGACTTAAGAATCCACTTCTTTGCAACTAGACAATGCTTTGAACCTCTCATATCACATCAAAATAATCATATTAGCCTAAATATATGGGGGAATTAGCATCATATTCCCACATCATTCCCCTCTCTATTATCACTTAAAATCATATAAAACCAACACAATTCAATAAAATAAAGCAAAACCTTTCCACATTTCATTCAAATCCTCCATAAACGCTACTAACAAAAATCTCCATAAACACAAAAAAATAGCTAATATTTGCATTATCAGATAAAAAGATAAAGCAAACCAATTTCGACATTCCAATCAAATTCTTAGTAAATACCCTAAAAAACCTACCATTTAAATTAACCGATAAAAATATAAAACTGACACAAATTAGCAGACAATCAACACAAATTTCAACAAATAAAGAAAACCATTTCGACATTCCAATTAGATCCTCAACAAATAAACCAACACAATTCAATAAAATAAAGCAAAACCTTTCCACATTTCAATCAAATCCTCCATAAACGCTACTTAAAAAAAATCTCCATAAACACAAAAAAATAGCTAATATTTGCATTATCAGATAAAAAGATAAAGCAAACCAATTTCGACATTCCAATCAAATTCTTAGTAAATACCCTAAAAAACCTACCATTTAAATTAGCCGATAAAAATATAAAACTGACACAAATTAGCAGACAATCAACACAAATTTCAACAAATAAAGAAAACCATTTCGACATTCCAATTAGATCCTCAACAAATACTACCCCCACCCAAAAAAAAAAAAAAAGCTACCATTTTCATTAACCCCTCTATCACCACTTAAAATTGTAACAAACCAACAATATAAAGCCTACCTATTTCCCAAAAAAGAAAAAAAAGCTAAACCTACAAAAAAAAAGAAGCCAAATACCTACCCCACTGGCAATGATAACCCCAGTAACAACAGGAACAAGGGTAAGATAAGTAAGCCAAGCCTCCCTCTTCAATGTCATAAAGTAAGCGAAAACAGCAGTAAAAAACGGCGTCGTAGCCCCAATAGCCTGATTAAAACTAACCGGTAGGAACCTCAAAGAAATATTCCCAAACACCACCGACACACAAAAGACCAAACTCAAAGCCGAGATCTTGAAAAACTGAACCCTAGATCGAATGGTCTGCATAGGAACCATCTTCATCCATGCAATAGCGATGTAGCTTAACAAAGAGCAAGCTGTCATGTGACACATGGTTAAGAAGATTGGGTATTTGAAACCATAATTGCTTAGTAAATATTTGTTTAACAACAAGACACCAATGTTGGACGAGTACCAGGATGTTACAAGCCCGATCGTGAATAATTTGGATTTATTTTTCATGGTTTTTTGGGGGGTTTTGAAGACCTGCGTATCTTTATTTTGAGGAAAAAAGTGGATTCTGAAAAAGGGAAGGAAATTGGGATTATAGGAAGGCGGATCTAGATGGAGTTTGGGGAATTACAGGTTTTTTTTTTTTCTTGTGTGGAAAAGAAGGATTCTTTTGGGATAATTTGATGTAATTAGCTTCCATGGATCTGATTCAACTTTCTCATTTGAAAATCAAGGAATCCCCAAAGTGAAGAAAATTAGAATTTTGACTTTAAGAAGGTAAAAAAAATCGGGTTTTGAGGAAGACCAAAGGAAAGAACGTGGCTGCCCCTCTGCAAATTCTTCTGAGGAGAAGAAGAGAGATAGGCACGGTTTTTGAAGCAGAAGAGGAAAACGCGTGTTATATATATATATATATATATTTATAATTTATGTTATTTATTTATTCATTTTTTACTTATTAATTAATTAGTTTTGATAAATTATTGAGGGTTATTTTATTTTACTAAAAGTATTTGTTATTTTTAATTTAAGGTTTGTTTTCATTTTTGTTGTTTGCGTTTGCTTGAAAGGTGAATGCTCACAGTGGGAAATGTATGGTATAAGGAAAGAGGACGTTGACTTGTAAATTTGAGAAATTTTGTAAGAAGATTTTTTTTTTTTTTTTTTTTTTTAAGTTTTAGTGGTAATGGTAATGAGATTTTGTATGGGAAGAGGGATGAACTTTCCATGTGTTGGGTTGATAAATAAAATTATTTTTCTGTGATAAATTGATTGGTTGTTTGATTTAAGGGCATGAATAGATTTGTTGGAATTTTTTTTTCTTTTTTTATATATGTAAATTCAGCTAATCTTCTTTTTTGAATAATAAAATCTATTAAATCTTTTTTTTTTTTAATTTTCAATCCTAATTAGTCAAACAAAAGCAAAACAAGAAAAAATGTGTATATTTCAAATTAAAAAATGTTATCCAAGGCCAAGAGGCAAAGAAAAAATGTTGGAGAAAATCTCAACAGCTGAATAACCACTTATATAAGCCTAATAATTGATTTAAGTTTCCCCCTACATAAAATCGAAATTTTAATTAATTTCAATTTAGTCAAATTAATAAAGAAAAAATAATCTAACTTTAAAAAAAAAAATGCAGGTTTATTCAATGAATTTTGGGTGGGAAACGATAATTTTTTTATTAAAAATAAAATGCCATTACCCTATTGTAAATATAAAACCTTCGAATTCGAAATGTAACACAAAGATAACATTTAAATAAGTTAAAATCAACTTTTACAATTTATTTCTTAAATTACTTAAAAAAAAAAAAAAAAAACCTACTTAGGAAAACGTAGAATTATAATAAAGTTGTTAATAATAAATGCATTTTTAAAAAAAGCATAAATATAATTCACGACAAATTTTGTTCTATTAAAATTTGAATTATTAAAATATAAAATTAATCATATATTAAATTACTAAAATAAAATTGTCATTGCTTCATGAAATTTTGACATATGATATTTTATAAAAATTACGATGATATCTCTATTAAATTAATCACATAACAATTAACTATATATTAAATTACTATAATAAAATAAAAATAAAAATATAATGTGATAAATATAAATGTAAAAAAAATAATAAAAATAAATTATTTTTAATTTTGTTTAAATATGTTTACAAAAAATTTATAAATTATAATAAAGTAAAAATTATGCATTTAATCAAATGATTAATAAAACTACACTATCAAAATATAGTATAAAAAATTAACAAAAAAACTATAATCACAATATATGAAATATTATATGTATTAATTTTAACACTTTTATAATATTTTTATTTTATTAGTATTTTATTATTTTTATATTAAAATAATTAGAAATATATTCAAAATAATAAAAATTTTACAAATAATAATAGCAAAAATTTTTGAAAGAAAAATAATTCTTACCAACGTATCCTGATGGCTATTTCTAGTTGATGGGAATTTTACCTTGCGTTTAACAATCTTGGCTTTTTTTGTTTCTTCCATATGAAAAACAATAATCAATTTCGACATTTGGCAATAAGCTTTTTTTTCTTTTTTCTTTTTTTTTTAAATCGTGTATTTGCTTTGTAATTCTGTTAGCTACCTTTCCCTGATATTGTGCAACCTAGACACTCTTATGTCAGCTTAAGTCATTTGCCATATCAACTTTATTAGACAGTCATGAATTTATAGTATTTATGAATTCAGTTAATTATGAATACAAATATTTCGTATCTTTAAATTTTGAATCTAGATTCATATTTATTATATTTTAATGTTTATTAATTTAATCATTCACAAATCTATGATATCAATGAATCTAATTAACTATGGATAAATGCATTTTGACTGTTCATGAACTCAATTGATTGTGGATAAATTATATTATTTGTGTTTTGTGCCTTTTAAATTTTGATATTATTTATTAATTATGAATTAAATTTAAATTGAATGAATTTAATTATTCACAAATTTAATCATTTAAGAATCTATAATATTCATTAATTTAATTAATTGTGAATGAATGTAATAAATGTTTAATATAATTTAAATTTAACATATTTATTAAAAATATAAATATAAATGATTATGGCATTAATTTTTTTTATCCCATATAAAGTAGGGAAAGAACATATAATCAACTAGCTTGGAATGAGAGGTAATATAATGCATATTTCATTCTTGAACACAAATTCTACAAACAGAAAAATAAAATACAAATCTTTTTAAATGTAATCTAACCTTACTAATATAGTTTTTTTTCTTCTTTGTATTGTTTTTTTACAAATATAAAAGATTGAACATGTGCAACCATAATCTATCTTACAATAGCAGGCTTGGATATCAAATTACTAAAATGAATTTTTTTTTTTTGACAACAAACTTTAGTTTATTTATTGAAGACAATACTATTTATACTAAATTTTCTATTGAACTATATAATTACACGACATTTTTTCTTTTGCTGTAATTCTTATTTGAACATAATATTTAGAATATAAATTATAAATTACAAATAAAATTTTTTATGTATGTTTAATTCCAATAAAAATTGTTTAAATAATATGATTAAAAAATAATATAAAAACTCAAAGCAACGCGCGAGATATGATACTAATTTATATAAATTATATATTCAAGATTGATTTTAACGAAGAATAATCAATGAAACTAGGTAGCTGTTGAGGCAATCCCTCTTAATTTGGATGTTGGGAATGTTAATGTCCAGGCTTGTTGACATGTGATGAAAGAAAGGGATGTTGTTGTCTTTCATTTTCTTTGTTTCTTTTCGTTCAGTCTTCTTCTTTGTGTCAAAAAAATTGTTTGCCTCTGCAAAAACCTCAGGATCTTACCTTTGTTTACGATATTGGTTCAACGGAATACTGGTTGTGGAGTTGAAATTTGATCCAAAGTTAAAAGATACTGCTATATATATATATATATATATATATATATATATTTGGTTGAATTGGTTTTGGATTGAAGAGAGTTTAAGTCAAAAATATATAGCAAACCTAATTGACCTTTGTCTTTCCCCTTCTTCAACTTGGTTAATAACAATAAACATTAAGTATATGATGAGTATTTGGTTTAATAGTCAGTGTATGTAGTTCTCGGTTAAGGAGAGAATTTGAATCATCCTCATTCCAAAATTAAAAAAGAAAAGTAAATAATTAACAAGGATTAGTCCGTAAGAGGGGCAATTCCTTTTTTTTTTTTCAATTAAAATTCAATTCTTATAAGAAACATTTCAAGAGAAATTCTGATTGCACAAAAGGCTATGTGAGGGAGTATCTCTTAAAATTGTTCCAAAAAAGAATACTAGACCCAAACAAAACTTTTAAATACTCCAAATCATTTAAAAAAAAAAAAAAAAAAACACAAAAAAGTAAATATGAACTAAAGATTTCGTTTGCAATATTTAAACCACGTAGCACAGAATTGCATTTGCCTCCTCTTGATCTACATTTTTAGTTTTTAGTTTTTTTTTTTTTTTTTTTTTTGTTCTTCCATTATATTTCTAATATAAATTTTAAATAAATTAATTGCATGAGATGCAAGAATTTCATGCTTTCTTTCCTGTTAGTCGAGGTAAAGAGAGGCAGCATTTTGTAAAGCATAAAAGAAAGTCCAATGCTTTCTCTCGATCGTTACACTTGCCACACAGTTCATAAATGTTCCTTTTTATTCTTCCTGAAAATATCTTTCATGCATTTATTACATATATTTTTTGGATTTGAATAAATTTTGCAAAGTGTTTGATAATTCAAAATCTTAAAAGCATATTCCTATCGAATTTTAGTTTGACAATCATTAGTGTTAGGGGTATTTTATGGTCATAAGCTTAGTATGGACTTTTTTCTTAAAAGATGACTTATTAACAAAATAAGGTAATTTTATTATTTCAACTTAATTAACGTGGTAATTTGACCTAAATTTTTAGAGTTCATGTCAACTCGGCTAGCTCAATCTTCCACTTGAAGATATATGGGAATGCTGACTTGTCACCCTTCAATTGGAATACCACATGTCAGGTTAGGTCGAGCCAACATTGTCAACCTTAGATTCAATTTTCATAGCTCAATTTTCAGAGCTCAAGTTATTCAAGCTCGACACTCTTACATTACAGATATAAATAATCCTCTTCACACCAAGTATAGACATTCTTTTTCGCTTCTTTCTTTTCTTAAAATTTCTTTAGTCTTCTCCTTTATTAAACACTGACTTGAGTATTGAAGTACAAATGCTAAAAAAACTTTCAACCTTTGCTTTTAACCAACCTCTGACCTTGTGATTTCAAGTTTTTAGTCTCATCAAGACAACTTGGCACAAACATTTTGGTGCGCTAGGTAAGGGACTTTGTTTATATAGTTGAGTTAATAATGCCTAGCACAAAAAGAATTGTAGAAAAATGAGATAACAATGTTGCAACTGGAACTGACACCTAGCTGAGTCAACCAAACCATAATTGACATGTACAAACAGCCTTAACCATGAAGCAATTTGAAGCCAGTACCCAATAATTATAGTTGCTAAAAGAACTAATCTAAAACTTAACTCCTGTACAAATATAAAAAAAACCAAATCTTACGGCTCTTAAAAACCTACAAACACAAAAGCTATCAACCTATGATGATGTGCTACCTTGTTGGCCTATGAAGAAGATGAAACCCCTAAAAGCTATTACCCTGCAAATACCTAAACATAAACCAACCAAAAATATAAGTAGACTACCTTGAAACCACAACCTAATAGGGACTTAGACGCTTAAATAGAGGCAATAGAGAAAGAGATCAAGAACAAAACCTCCATCACTGATGACAAACTCAAGTTTCTATAAACATCCCCTTTACCCAA